CCCAGTGCCCAGGCCTCCAAGCTCAGGGCTCAAGGCCAAGGGAGAGGAAGCAGGGCAGACAGATGGAACCTAAGGGAAAAATCCACCTCCCCTCCACCCCCCTGCTGAGCCCTGAGGGCTCCTAACAGGCCCAGCTCTTCTGGGGGCTCTGGGTGAAGCGGAATTAGCAACCACCGAGAGCATCAGCTCCACTCTAGTCTCACACCCTGATCTGGGACCACTAGCCACCCTCCCTGCTCCCAGTTCTTCCTGGATGCGCACTGCATGGGTGTTCCAGGCTATCTTAACATCATTCCCACCTTAATGAGGGGCCTGGAAAATCACTAAGTGAAAAGCAGAAAAGAGGCGAAGGAGCATAGGCCGGGGGTGAGCTCAGGCCATGCTTTTCCTCACGGGAGGCTGATGGGTGCAGTCCTCGCCTCAGACTCCAGTGAATACACATTCACTATAATGAAGCACAGGCAGACCAGACCAAGGTCATCACCAATGGTCCCAAACTCCCAGCATCACCCATTTATCGATACGATACCTAGTCCCTACACCAACCCCCGACCCTCCTTACTCATGTGCTCCTACCCCAGCACAGAGTTTCAAGCAGTAGCGAGTTGTAGCAGTAGTTGTCGCTAGCTCACAGTGAGGAAGGTTCCAGAGGAGTGGGCTTGGCTCCCTCAGGTGTGGAGGGCCTCAGGGGACTGACCCCACACTGAGCTATCAGTGAGGAGTCTCTAGGAGTGAGCCTTTTCCAGTTTGTGACTTTAAAATACAACCAAAAAGGAGTAAGCACCCTCCATAGACTGCATTCCAATGAGCACTGCGCAGAATTGGCAGAGGGGGGGGTAGGCCCAGCCAGAGATGAAGGGGAAGTGCTGACCACAGGCTCGCTGCTCCTGCTCAGCTTACTCTGAGCAGGCTGGCACCTCCGCCACACCTCTTCCTCCACGTCTAGTGGAGCCTGTCGCCCCTTGCACTCCTCTATCTTTAGCCCACCCTCCTGAGGAAGGACTAGGCTGCAGCCTGGGCTGTGACTAAACACAGACAGATCTCAGACACAGATAAATACCATCCTTCGCAGAAAGGAGGAGGACAGGGTGAGGTTGGGCTTCCTCAGAGGGTTTGGACTTGCACCTGAGCACAGGAAATCTCTAACAGAAACCCTGGCACCACAGAGGGTCCGGGAGCTCTGCCTCCCTCCCCCAGGCTGCCCTGAGAGCAGTGAGGTCCTTGGCCATGGGCAGGAACCCAGGGGACTTCTGGCCTTGGACCCAATCCTAAGCCCTCAGTAGTCAGATCTGCCCCTGCCTGGAAGTTCCGGTCTAGACCACGCACTGAGAACGGTTCTGAGGTGCTTCCGCTCTAGCGTGGGACTGTGCACTGCTCATTCAGTGCACCATGCAGACCTCTGCCTCCGTGCTTCTGGCTCCTGTTTCTCAGCTTATTGTCCTGCACTCGCCCACGATCCAAAGCCTCCCGCCTCAGCTTTCCTACACCATCTGTCTACCCTGATCTTACCACTCTGAATTTCTTTAAACACGGGCCTCATTCTCCAATTGCTTCCTGTGTGGCAGTCATCTAAAAGGTCATGAAGGCCAGATACCATGTCCTCCACTTCTTGTGTTTTCCTCAATATCTAGCCCAGAGCCAGGCAAACAGATACTAAAAATAGTTTATAAATTATAGCCAAAATGGTTTTTAAAAAAATCCCAGGTAGCTGCACACCAGCCACTCAAGGATCCCAATGGATTCCAGACTTCAGGCTCCACAGTGGTGGGGGTGAGGGTGGCACTTTCTGCAAGATGGCAAATTAATCTGTACCCTCAAGAAGCAAGACTCACAGGTCAAGTCCATTTCTGGGGTCACAGTCTTAACTGATTGGTAATATTACTATGGAAACCAGAAAGAGGTACCTTCTAACAAGCCAGAGGCTGGGCTGTGTTTATGGTTCACAGCTCCTTTTGTGGGCCACCTCTTCAGAGGCCAGTAACAATGCACATTTCCTCCCTGCTCAGCTATGGGTGAGGCCCAAAATCACTGGGCCTCACCCCAAGCCATGAAGAAACCACAGACCTGACAATATTATTTATCTAATGAGATGAGACAGAGATAAGCACAGGGGAAGCAAAAGAGGCCGTCTAATAGAACACTACTGCAAAAGAGTAGTAAAGACCAAATGCTCAACTTTCACATTTTAGTAGCAAACCTTTCCCCAGAGTAACTCTACATAAAAGCAAACGCATAATCTTACATGATCTGACAATGGCCTGCTTCAGAGAAAATTGAGGACCATTGAAAAACACTGGAGTTTGTCTTCCTCCTTCCCACGTCGTCCACTGGAAGACTGGCAACTCTGAAATCAGCATCTGACAGAATCCCAATGAAAGGAGGGCAAACAGGATCTGACTCTGGAAAATGTTTGGGTTGCCAGAAAGAACACAGGGAAATTAAGCCCTTTCCACAAGGGGGACAACAGTGATAAACCATGAGATGTGGCGCCCTTCTCCTCTCTGATCTAAGGACATCCTGCTATGACTGAGACACTAGAGAGCTTTCTGCAGGAAGAGCACAACCATGATAGCTTCGTTTCACAGCCTTCCTCCAGTCCCTCTCATTAGCTGACAGGCATCTGGAGGTAAGGAACACTGGCTCCTAAGTCATGGGTACGGTTTGCCATTACGAATCTGGAGGCATGCTCCATTAACTTTAGCAGCATGATTGGAGTGCTACTGCTCAGGTGATGAAAAAAACTATTGCCTTGACAGCTGGCGAAAGCAATGGGAATGACATGATCATGACCAGAGTGAAATGTACAGTTATCTTGGGGAACAGGTTGAGGATGGAGAAAGAACGAGGTTAACTTGAGGTCACAAAGCTTAAAAATTAAATAAAACAAAACAAATCCAGCTTCTGTGAGAGGTGATTCTGAAATCAGGTTCCTAAATTAAAAGGATTCAAGGAGTCACTACTTCCCCAGCAGAGGCCATCTGCCAGTCTTTGTGCAGTCATCTTCCGAGACCACCCACCTCCTTTCCTCCCTGCTCCTACTAAAGCTACATATGCTTAAAGAGGAGCAGATTCTTATCCTTCAGAAACTCTAACTTCATCTGCACTGGATTCCTTCTCTCCCCTTCTTCAAGGTCAATGGTGAAGACTCGCACTCTGCCTTTGGCACCAGCTGTTTGACCGGCACTGGCAATCCCCTCCCCAGTCCTCCTTTGGACCTGCTCACCCTCCACACCACTTCCAATCCAATGGGCATGAAACCCAGCTGCCTTTGAGTTTTCCATACCAAGAAATGTAAATATCCAAAACAAATATCCAAAAAAAAGGAACAGTGTTGAGACTTCTTCCAGTTTTCCAGGAGCTCATCCAGTTCCAAGATACCAGATGGCGGGATGGGGAAGGTTGGAGCCTCACTCAGACAGTGTGGCTGTGTGCTTCATCCGAGCCCCAGGGTGGTGAGGGGGACCAAAGTCTTTGCACAGAGGATCCCAACCCTTCCTGTTTCCTCTTGGTTTTACCTCACTCCTCTTCTCATGATACCTTCATCTGGTTCTTCAAAACTGGAGCTTGGCAACCAAATGCCTAGGGGGAAGGAGAGGTAAAAAAATTAGAGTGGTTCAACAGAGTGGAATCAGAACAGAATGAAGGAATAGCCCAGCCTCTGGAGTATAGCTCAAAAGAAGAATGGAGCCAAGCACTCCCACAAACACTGAAGCTGCGGGGGATGCAGCAACAGCCTTTGTCAGGAGGCCTGAGTAGCCTACAACCAGAATGCCAAAAACTGGTTCTAACTTCCCTCTTTCCATTTCCCTTAGTCCTTAATTTTCCACCTGTTTCCACCGAGGCCTACCTACTAGGACTCTAGGGATTAAAAAAGGAGCTGAGCCCGGCAGGCATGGCTCAGTGGCTGCGCGTCAACCTATGAACCAGTTCAATTCCCAGCCAGGGCCAGGGCCAGGGCACACTCTTGGGTTTCGGGTTGTGGGGTCGATTCCCAGTAGGGGGCCTGCAGGAGGCAACCATTCAATGATTCTCTCTTATCACTGATGTTTCTATTTCTTCCTTCCTCTCTGAAATCAATAATAAATATATAAATATATTTATATATATGTGTGTGTGTGTGTATATATATATATATATATATATATATGATTTGTTTATTTTCTTAAGGAAACTTCACACTAAAGAAAGATGGGGATGGGTTGTCAAGCACCCCGTCACTAGAATGTGAGATTGTGCATGTAAACCCACACTATTCTGTGGGAATTTGGTCCCTACTCACCGCTACTTTTCAATGTTCACTTTAATGAAATTTAAAAGACTAATTAGAACTCATCTGCACAAACCAGCATTCCATGATATTTTATGGGAAAACAAATGAGTAGGACTTAGTGTAGAATGGGAGAATAGCTTCTTATATAAATGAATTCCTTTGTTAATTCACTCATTTCTGTTGAACCATTCACTTCTCAGTGGCCTAAAGGGAAGAGGGAGCTGTTTTTCCGCTACCCCTTTCCGAGCCGTGGGACACAGTAAAGCTCTCCTTGAAGTGTATTTCTATTGCAATTAAAGGCTTGTTTGCGTTTCCTTTGATGAAGACTCCTTCCTTCCATTTTGGCTTCCAGCTTTGTACATCATTTGTGCAGCATCAGGGAGCTCAGCCACAGGATGAGAGAAGGCTGAACACACAGTTACACGTGTGTCCTTCTCCTTCTTCATATCCAGTAGTTAGCCTGCACGTTATTGGCAAACATATTCTTCTTTAAGTCTCCCTGTCTACCTGCTCTTTTCCAACTGGGGTGCTCCTTTGGGGACTCTGTGATTGGATGTGGTAACTATGGGCAGATGTTTGGATACACACGGGATGGCAGGGGGAGAGAGAGGGAAGACAAGGCCCATGCATGATGACAACTGCCCATGCATGATGACAACTGCCCAGGAAGACATGGCTGGACGAGAGGCAGAGAGCTCCTACCCTCAGCAGTGACCAGCAGGGCCCCTCGCTACGTGGACGGTTCCACCTCTTGCTTCTGTTTGGAAATAAGCTGCGCTTCCTTTAGAGACAGGTATACCTCTTCCTGAGGATCATAGTAGTAGAACTTTCGGATATAAGAGATCAGAGGTCTGTAAAAACAAGAGGAATACACACAAAGTGCCATTTATGTAGATTGAAAAGAAAGACCACCTTTGTTCAACTCTTCCTTCTTTTCAATTCCTATATGGTTGAGACACCAAAGACTTTGCAACCCTAACAAAATTCCCATTTTCTCACTTATTATAGTTCTGTCTCCTTTCCACTACCTTCTCAGACTGCAGAAGGGAGGCTGACACACACCTTCCTCCCTCTGGCTGCAATGGAACAACCGTCCTAGTCAGGTGTCAGGACAAAGGAGAAGTGAAGCCTGTGAACCTGCCAGGCCTGCCTGTGAATTGGCTTGCAGCCTCGCTAACATTTTTAAGTAGCCCTCCTTCCTGCCCCAGCCCTACAGACTGCATCGTACTTAGGCAGTGGGAGATCCGGGATGTGATCGATCCGGACGAGCTGTCGGATTCGGAATCTGCAAAGGTGCTGCAGGGATTTGACGTTGCTGAATCGGGACACTGGATAGAGCAGCTGGACTGGAGTTGGTGGCAGTCCTTCAAGAATGGAAACCAAGAGGAATATTCAGTAGGAACAATGCAGCTATGTCTCCCCTTATGAAGAGTCCAGGGAAAGGAAACGGGCTTCCTTACAGTTCACCTCAGTGTTCTGTGCTTCCACAAAGACTGCGGATTTCTACCTGCAGAACTACAACCTCCAGATTTCACTCCAGAGAACCTATTCTCGGCCCTCACCACTGTCTTTCTAGTGAACACTCTTTTACTTTCCCTGTTCCGTGGAAATGAGCTGAGAGCTCTCACCTCTGTTTCACATGTAAGTGTAAGATGCCTGGATCAGGGACAAGGAGACCTCTCAGAGTGCAAAATATTCACATGATGCCTGGACATCAGAGGAAGGTTCCGTTTTCTCACTCATGTGGTTAGAGAAGCAAAGGTTCCTTCCCATATGCTGAGGGATTAATGTACAGGGTAGGGGACCAACCACTGGACTCTAGAAAGAATGTTTCCTAATAAGAGCCAAGAAAAAAGCTTTAAGCAAGTATGGCCTTTTTGGTGGGAGTGGGGGGTGCATTTTGATTCTATATTGGACTATGCCCAAGTAAGTTGAATAATTTTATAACAGCCACAGCCATACCTGGAACCCTGGATCTCAAGAAATAGAGAAACTTCCCGTTCTTGGAGTGCATGATGGCTCTCTTAATGAACTCCACCACCGATTGACAGCGATCCTCAAACTTGGGATGACACCAGAGGCTGAAGGTTCCTACCAGTAAACATTAAGAAGAGGAAAAACGTAAAACATTTTCAAAAGATATGGGAAGCTGATTTGCACATTTTTATGATTCGGAGGGTAAGACTTTATGGGCAAGCTGAATCAGAAAAAGGTCCCTGAAGCCACCTGTTCCTACTTGTTCTATAGTTAATGGAAAGAAAGACATTGCCTTTAATAAGACACACATTAGGTCTTACAAGGCTTTTGTTAAAGTAAATAATAAATTCAAGTCAGGAAAAAGATATAAAAATACCTTTTTTAATTTCTCTTAGCAATATTTTTTTCTGATATATCTCCTTAGAAAAGAAAAAAAAAGAGAAAAAAATAAACAAGTGGGACTATATCAAACTAAAAAGGTTTTGCATAACAAAGGAAATCATCAACAAAACAAAAAGACAACCTACTGAATGGGAGAAGATATTCACCAATGATACATCCTATAGGGATTAATATCCAAAATTTATAAAGTCACACACCTCAACAGCAAAAACTCCCTAACAAATCCAATTAAAAAGCAGGCAGGCAGTCAATGATTTTTTCCTCATGATATATATATATATATATATATATATATATATATATATATATGAGAGAGAGATATGTATGTATATGTAAAATAAAAAGCAGGCAGAGAACCTGAATAGACACTTCTCCAAAGAGGACATACAGCCCTCTCCCTTACTTTCTTCCCTTCCTCTCCCCCCTCCCCCTCCCCTCCTTCTTCCCTCCCACTCTATGAAAAAGTAATGGAAAAAAATCCATATATATATGGAGGGGGTGGGGAGAGACTGACTATGTATGGTGTCAGGTACATACTAGATTTATCAAGGGGATTACTCTGTAAGTTATATAAATGTGCAGTCACTATGCTGTACATCTGAAACTAATATTGAATGTCAACTGTAATTGGGGGTGGGGGGGAAGATTGCCACAGCAAAAGCGAGTTTAAATGACATTCCCCTCAAAAAGACCTAAGTCTTCAAGTATTCATGGGACAGCTGAAGAAAGACAAGAAGAGAGGTTTTGTGAGTACTACCCATTCATGTATGTGTTGGGCACAAAAAAAAAAAATCAAATTCTAAGTCTTTCCTTTAACTTCTAAAATTCTATGCCCCAACATGTTACAAAGATCCCACCCCAAACTTCAAGATCCCAAAGGTAAATGGGAATCTGAACTCCCAGGACTTCAAACAAAACAACTAAAGCTCTAAATCCAAAAGAATCACCCACTAAGGTGAAACTAAATCACTCAAGAAAACTGCGGATCTGAGTCTCGCTAGCTACTCTTACAGTATCACTTAAAACGACAAAGACAAATGCTCCATTGCAAACTGGCAACTAAAAGGCCCACAAGGCTTCTACTAAAAATTCCATTTATTCAAGAAATAAAAGTCCCTTTGAATAAAAAGTAACTGGAGAACCATTTGAAAGAGCTCTCTCATTCCTGGCATCTCACCTATCAGGAACCTAGAGGTCAAACATTTATTCCCATAGCCTAGTCACTTATTTTAAAATGGGTTTATAAAAATACTTCCCTCTGAAATGCTTTGTTTTGCATTTGTTTGTCTGATGTTTGCTTTTAGAAACAGCAGGAAAATAGGCAGTAGTCTATCCCACAGTGATCTAGCTAATTAATGCTCAGATCTTTAGACCGGAGTTCCTTTCTCTTCCTGCATCTCTAAGACAAAGGTGGAGGCAGAGGAAACCATGCTGACCTAAACAGCTACTTCCTGCTTCACGAGAGAAGCAAACCAAATAAATCCAGCAGAACACAGCTGGAGGCAGAAAAGACATGGTGGTGCCTCAGAAGAGCATGGGATGGATGTCTAACACAGCTCACTTAAGGTGGTCACACACGGGAAGAGTGTGAGAGATGGGAGAGGCAATTCCCTAAAACTCCCCAAAGTTCTCTACACTTTTAAAATTTATAACATATGCAGGTATTTCAACAAGTGATATATCATCCAGTCCTACCACCAATGATGTCACAAATTTCTGGCCCAAGTTAAGCAGAATGCCCTGCTGCAAAATTAATCCAGAGTGGTGTTAAACAAGTCACCTTCCAGACATGACGGCGACATGAAGCACAGCATGACCACACAGACCATGACTACTTGGGAAGCAGGTAGACAGTCCACAAAGCAAGTTGATTTCACAGACTCTTGGAGTTCAGATGACTATTTCCTAAGAGACTACAAAGTTGACCAAGAGAGAATTATCATCACCATGCTGACTGGCAGAAGAGCTGATGTTCGATCAGGCAAAGAAATTCAGAACAGATCAGTCCAGTATCAACACTCGTCTCCTTTCCATCCATATGATTTAATAGGAAGTATCTCTAAATGTTAAGTTTAATTATAAACAAAGTTTGAGAGAATTTGTCTGGGTTATTTCTTTTTTTACCAAGAGAGTTTTACTGGCTTTGTTCTGTTCTTCACTAGTCTTGTTTAGGCCCTCCTATTTAGGAAACAAGATGCTGAAAATACTTTTAAATGGAACCCTTACTCTCATCCTTACCCCTGCCAACTTTTCTTTGTGACTGAAATCAGTGCCCACATCAGTATTCAACTGACTCTATGAGATTCTTTCTCCATTTCACAATTCCATTTCTATGACCCCTTCCTATGAAAAAGTCAAATGGCAAAGGCAGAGAAAGGCTTCCCCCAACACTAGCACCTCTTACCTCTGTAGTGCTCCATTCTAGTGTGGTGGGTGATACCCTGTGATCGAAAACTGAGGCTCAGGATATAGCGAGGATCAGAGCTGTCTCGTACCAGGAAGGAACCATCTGGTTTCCCTTTCAGCTTCATCTCTGCATCTTCCCAATTCATTGGTCCCCAATACCAACCACACTATCAAAGACACAAAGGGGTCAAGTGGTTAACAGAACAGAGAAATGTCAGTGTTCGGCACAAGCCAGCTTACCGCCGGAGACCCCACTTCCAAGCATTTCAGGAGGGAAAAGCTGTGAGAGCAATAAACATCAGGCTCAGGACACTTCTAAATCTCCAAAGCAGAAGGAGAATTCTACAATTCCATTACCACGGCTCTTCACAGAAGAGAAGAGGGACTGGAATCAGTTAACCTGCTACAATCAGTTTAGACTATGTAAACATTTCTCCACACCTTTCCTTATCACATTCAATTCCAGGTCCCCCCAAGCCCGTTTCAATTTTATGATATATTTTATGGAATTGATAACAGTAGCATCTTGCTTTGTCACTCTAAACATAGAGACGAGGAAACTACTCTCCCTCTAAAAATAATAAAACGGGAGTCAGATACAGAACTAGGGAGTGGAAGAGGAGGAAAGCCTCCAGTGCTCAAGTGCTGCCTACCTTCTCCAGCTCTCGGAGGCTAGCTGCAAAGCTGCTGGAGTCGGGCCGGTAGAGGGGACACTGGAAGTGCTGGGGGGGCTGGCTGTGCAGGGATTCAGCCGCTCGGATAGGAGCAATCCTTGGAAATGCATCTGTAAGGCGAGAGTGTGGTGGTCACTTGCTTACCCTCACCGCTCCCAACCTCAGTACACCCTCCTCCCAAAACAGAGATGCTAACTGAAGAGGGCAAGGCGTTAGAAGCTAAGCCGGAAAGGGTGAAAGCCAAAGCAGTGGGAAGGAGCTGATGGGCTGGGACAAAAGCCGTGTGGGCTTGTGTAAGCTATGAAGGATGGGTGAGGGCACTGAACCCCAGGAAGGGGGTGGGGAGCTGCTCACTAACCTGGCTAAGGTGACTACTTCAGGGCCTTCACCAGCCCAGAGTGATTCCAACTCCTCCCACCGCGAGGCGAGGTGCCGGTAAAGCCCTCGGAAATAGTGCCTCGCTTACTTGCCCCGGAAGTGTGACCATTTTGCCAGGCAAGTGGGAAAACGCCGACTTCGTTCATTTTATTCCTTGGTACTGGAGGCTGGCAAAGCAGGTATGGGCTACTAAATGCTTGCTACATATTTACAAGGCTGCAGAGTCAGTACTAAGAGCTTAGAAAAACCACAGAACTTTGAAAACCAGCAATATATTAAACCTCCTCACTGTCCTGAAATTAAACTAGTTTCCTCAGAGATGTCTGTCTACTCAAGGATTAAAAAAACCAAAGTCTCAGTGGCAAAAAGACGAAAAAAATTCAATAGTCTTTTATCTAACAAAAATCAAATTCAACTCCATAAATAAAAACAGGTTAAAAAATCAGTTCTTGGCCTCATTTTCAAAGAGTTCTGTAAGCTTTCTCATAAGTTCTGTTATTTCCATAAATAGATTTCTCCCATCCTTCAAAAAGTTTATCATCTGTACTCCCAACTCTTGCAAGTCTTGTCTCTAAGCTAAGCTAACCTGGGGCATGGGGTGGAGGAGGCGGAGGTAGGGGGAAAGACTGCAGGGAAGACCCCATCGGAGCCACAAGGACAGATGTAGGCAGCGTCCCACTGATATCATCTAGAAGAGAGAACAAAAGCAAAAGATTCAGAAATATGAGCACAGACTGGGCAAGGTGAAGTAGAGGAGAGGGAGAAGGGTCATCAGGCTGCCCGCTGGGGCAAGGTGGCCTGACCTTCACCCTATCTTTCTGTACAGAGGGCAACAATCATCTGAATCTGGCTTCCTCTGCAGGAGAGTAAGGCTATTCTTAAAGCAGCCCACTAGCTGTAGATTCAGGGTAAGATAAACGCAGATCTAATCAACATATGGATAATAAATGCTGTAATAGCATGCAGGTAAGACACTCATTCAACTGCTTAAGGAGATGACAGAGTGCTGAGAAAGGGACAGGGAATAACTGGTTCATCATTGGAAACCCAGGAGCTTGTTTGGCTCCTGGCAAAGAAAAACAGACCCAAGCACTCCCACTCCCTCTAGAGCAAGAAGGTAGAGTGGAGGAGACTGTACCTAGGAGGCTGAGGCTTCTTCTCGGAGGAGGAGGGGGAGTTGGAGGGTGCGGAGAGGCCAGGCCCCGCTGAGAGATGTCCACATCCACAAGCGATACTGTCTCACCTGAGGGATTCATGGAGCAAGCACGTTAGAGAACACCTTGCCCAAAGCGGAGGCCAGAGCAAAGGAAAGCAAAGGGCAAGCGAGGGAAGTCAGAGTCGCTGGCTCTCAACAAGCTCAAAATCTAATGCTCCCAGGGCTGGGATCACCCCCTAACCACCTGGGAAGTCAATTTTAAATGCTATCATTTCTTTACCATCTTAATGGTCAAGGGTTCTTTAAGGATAAAAACATGGACTTGACAATGGGAAAGTCAACTAATTGTGATTCTGCCACTGACAATATAACCTTGACCAAGCGATCTTCTTTATTCAAATGGAAACCACACTATCTATTTTTACAGACTTGTACACTAATTTCTGCCTTAGGAAGCAAAGCAAGCAGCTTGTTACAAGTCCAAATGGACATAGAAAGCAAGTGCCAAAAATGTAAGAGCTGCATGGTACACTGCATGCAAATAAAGTCCCAATGTTAGCCCTGACTTCTTCCTAAACGGCTTCCCATGTCTAGAGTTTTCAGACTATTCATTCATAAGAGAACCCATTTCAGATATGAATTAGTTCCTAATAGCTAAGGCTACAAAGGCTGAAAAGTACATTTACAACCCTAATAATTAACTACTTCCACAGCCAGCCTAGAGTCAGGTAAGCTACGAGGAAGCTTCTCAGTAGGAAGTTGATTGGGGGTGGGAGGTTAGGAAGATGACATGTGGTTTCTCTTTACTTCCCAGCATGTGACGCAGTCCTGTTCTCTGCCGTATACATTCCACCCAGCCCTGGCTCCTCTCTCTCCATGGAGTCACCAGAGGATGAAGGTTATCTTATTAACTAAGGTTGATAGCCAAAAATAGGTCAGAACTCGGGATTTCTCTAATTTGAGGGTGTTATTTCCAATATCTTTTTCTTATTCAGGAGACTCAATTAGCCCCTCAGCTGGATTTTATTATTATTAAAGACCAATGTCTCTAATAGAACCTAATACACAGTTTTGATTTTGTTGAGTTTGTTCGTTTGTTACAAAGTTCTTGATCATAGATTAAGATAAACAAAAAAACTCTTCTAAAAGTCATCAGTGGAAGTTGTATAATAGTACATACTGGACTCATCACAGAGCTTAACCGATAGCCTAGATGCCCAGAGCAATGAGATGAACCCAGACAAGTGTGCCTCCTGAAGGGTCAGAGAGGTCTAGGTTGTAGGTATAGTATCTCAATAAAAATATATAATTCAAAGGAGCTAAGCTGTGTGAAACAAGAACACTTCAAATCTGGGTGTTCCTTACTTTAGAGAGGAAACAATTATTAACCAGAAAGACATATTACTACATGATGAGATTCTTTAATTCTGGCCCTAGCCAGTTTGGCTCAGCGGAAAGAATGTCTGTCTGCAGACTGGAGGGTCCTGGGTTCAATTCCGGTCAAGGGCACATGCCCGGGTTTTGGGGTCCATCCCCAGTAGGGGGCGTGCAGGAGGCAGCCAATCAATGATTCTCTCTCATCACTGATGTTTCTATTTCTTCTTCCTTCCTCTCCCTTCTTCTCTGAAATTATATATATATATATATATATATATATATATATATATATATATATATATTTATAAAAAAATTTTAAAGGAAACTCCACACTAAAGAAAGATAGGAATGGGTTGTCAAGCACCCCATCACTAGAATGTGAGATTGTGCATGCAAACCCACACTACCAAAATCACTATTAGAAAAATAATAAAAATACATTTTTTAAAAAAGATTAATTCTGGGCTTGAGGTAAAAACAGAGATCTCCTTCTTCACCTGTGCCTATTACAGGTACCAGCACACTTGTCTGACAGCTCATGGCTGTCTATGTAGTAAGGGCTGGGGGTGGGGGTCCCACTAGCCTGTTTAACTCTGGAAATGTCTATCCCTAATCACAATTCCTCCAATCATCTCTTTGAGGGACACAGCACCAAAAGAGTTTGAAATCGAAGTTATTTTTTAAAATCTTCTCAGTCACAATCAATGAGCATCCAGTTTCTAAGACTTGAAGCAATGTGCCAAAGACCTTCTTTTAAGCAGCTTATTCAAGCAGGAGCTTCTCATCTGACTGACACAACAAAAGGTCTCCCTGAAAAAGCTCCCCATTAAAGAGGAGGCAGTTGCCCAAAGGACATTCAACCGCTTTCCTACTTTAGCAACTGTGTTCCTTGCAGTTACATTATAGACCTAAATTAGCCACCAGGAAGAACTCTGACAGCTGCAAGAACTGCTACCCCCTAAAATGGGTAAGACAAGAGTTCGTGTAATCCCCTTTGCCCCAAGTCTTTAAAAATAGACTAGATAATCATGGGCCGTGTTTATTAGATAATCCATGAACTCCCTTGGAGGCAGAGACAGGAATTGTATGACTTCTTAGGAGTCCTTCATGCATTGCGAGCCTATAAATTTGTAATTCCTCCTTTTAATTTATAAGTGATGACCCTGAACTAAGGTCGGGATAACTGCCAGGGTCACTTAATTACCAGCAAGCAGTCACTCCTCAACCTATAAAGCATCCAAAGCCAAGAACACGTTCTACACCATAAAAACAGCCCCTCCCAAACCCAGCAGGCAGGGAATGAAGAAAATGAGCACAGTAGGCCTGAAGCCCCCTCTGCAATGCTGTTTCCTGACAGGTCTCAGAACACTCCTGCTTTCAGATGTCAGGGGGAAAAGAGATCACCCTTACCTGTGAACAGGGGGCTGAAGGAGGCCGGAGAAAAGGCACTTTGAGTTCTTGTCAACCTGGGTTTCCTAGGGGGTGAAGAGCACAGAGAGAGTAAGGGGTGGGGGTGGTTAAATCTCTACAATACGCAATTCCATGTGCACTGAAAAACAACGCAAACCCAATCAGTATCAGCAACAGTTTTGTAATAAAGCCTAAAATTTATAGGGGGAGAATAAAATAATTAAGGCAATTCCTTAAATAGATCTGGCTACAGAATTCACTAGCCTACAAAAGCATGAGAAATCCCTTTGGATCTCTCCTCACCCACCACATAGAAAGAGTGAAACACCTTGAGTGGTAATTAGCAAGTCTATTTCTGGAGGAAGTCGGAAACACAGTTTATTTCCATGTGGGAACCAAGAAAAAGCCTCTTACTGACCAGGTGCTTTCCCTTGGGACCTGCTGCTAGGAGAGCAGGTCCCAAAGTGAACCAGAGAACATATCTGGGTTTGAGACCAGCACTGCAGGACGCACATGTCATCTTCAACCACGAAAGACATGCACATGGGGTAAAGCCAGCAACTAACAAGGGGGCTTCCCTATGTTATGGGCTCTGCCTGGCACCCAAACCAGATGCCCCTTCTCCTCTCTGAACTGCCAGTTACACAGCTCTCCTTGCGACTTCCCCGGGAAGCTGCTCCAGGGAGCGAGCTGGAAAAACCCAGATCTCCTGTAAAAAGAGACTTTCTGGCTAGAAATGTGCTAAGTCCAATACTTTCAGTAATAAGAATAAATTTTATAAATAAAACAGTGCACTTTATTTTAAAAATCACTCAGGATGACTGAACTGACGACCACTAGTCAAAGACTTGTGGAGGTGATGAAAATATGTTACATCTTGATTGTGACAGAGGTCATGATGACTATTTATCAAAATTAATAGAATAGCCGAAACCTGTTTGGCTCAATGAATAGAGCGTCAGCTTGGGGACTGAAGGGTCCCGGGTTCGATTCCAGTCAAGGACATGTACCTTGGTTATGGGCATATCCCCAGTGGGGGGTGTGCAAGAGGCAGCTGATCGATGACTCTCTCTCATCGATGTTTCTAACTATCTCTCTTCCCTCCTCTCTGTACAAAATCAATAAAATATATTAAATTAAATAAAAAATTAATAGAACACATAAAAACGATGAATTTTAGGTGGTATATAAATCCTACCTCAATAAACTAGTCTTTTAAAAAATTCCCACCACTGAGCCCACTGTATGGGAGAACATATCATTATACATCTGATATCATTAATATCCAAAATATAAAAGGAACTCATACAACTTAACAAAAGGAAGACAAACAATGCAATTAAAAAACAGGAACAAAAAAAATGGGCAAAGGACCTAACTAAATACTTCTCCAAAGAGGACATACAGATGGCCAAGAAACATATGAAAAAATAAAGTCACTGATCATCGGAGAGATGCAAATTAAAACAACAACGAGATATCACCTCATATCTGTCAGAATGGCTACCATCAACAAATCAAAAAATGACAAGGGCTGTCAAGGATGCAGAGAAAAGGGAACCCTAGTTCACTGCTGGTGGGATGCAGACTGGTGCGACCATTATGGAAAACAGTATGGAGTTTCCTCAAAAAATTAAACATGAACTACCATTTGACCCAGCAATCCCACTTCTAGGAATATATTCTAAGAAACCCAAAGCACCAATCAGAAAGAAGGTATGCACCCCCATGTTCAGAGGAGCACTATGTACAATAGCTAACATTTGGAAATAGCAGATGAGTGGATAACAGCAGATGAGTGGATAACTGTGGTACTTTATACATGGAATACTAGGCAGCAGTAAAAAAGAATATCTTACCCTCTGAGACAGCATGGAGGGACCTGGAGAGTATCGTGCTAAGTGAAATAAATCAGTCAGAGAAAGACAAGTATCACACCGCACTCATATGTAGATTATAAGTAACAAAATAAACTGATGAACGGAGTGGGTCCAGAGTCATGAGAGCATGGAAAAGTATGGAATCTCAGAGGAAGGCGGGGGAGAATAGGTGGGTGGGAGGTAATCAACCAAAGACCTTGTGTGCATATATGCTTAAGTCATGGACACAGACAACAGGGTGCTGAAGGCTTTGCAGGAGGGCGGGTGGAGAGACAGGTTGGAGGGGGTCAATGGGGAAAAAGGCAGTCATATGTAATACTTTCAACAATAAATAATTATAAAAACAAACAAACAAAAACTTTGCACCACTGACTTGAGGGCCTGACTCTGGGCCTTGTAGCTGGCTGACCTTCCAAAATTATTCTCATCCAAAGGACTAAATGAAACTTCAACTGCACCAATGTAGGAAAGGTGAAGCAAAGAAAATCATATTTAAAATTATTTTATTTTAGATCTTTATGCATTTATGTTTTAGCATAGATATCTGAGATTCTCAGAATTCAATTCAAACAAAATTTTAAAACCATACTGTGAAGATCTTACACAAAAATAGTCCAGAAGCTAGATCTTTGCTCCGGAACTCCCTCCTCTGCAACCTCCCTCCATGCTGAGACTCAAGAAATCTAATGATGGTGCCCATTATAAATGCCCATCCACGGCGCCCCGGGGAGAAATGGCTGCATCATACAAGACACAAGCATGCATAGTCCCTGTGTAAAAAAGTTGCTCATGACCGTCTGCAGCTTATTTCCAACACTCCAGAGGGCTGAAATAGAAAGTTAATTCCACTGGACATGAACTTAAGACTGAAGAGCTTTCAAATTGGTTTTTATTTGGTAACCATGGTACATTGAACCCAGCAAGGAGAAACCTAAGCATTGGTCTTCACAGGGTTCACACCTCAGCCACTTGGCTGCTTGCCTCCTTTCACAGGAAGCTGCATTACTCTGCCATCTGCCCATGCTGGGGACGAATCTCTTCAGTGCCAGGCACTGGAGAACGGCAGTGCCCAAACGCACACAGCTTGCAGAGGGAGGCCTTCTCACTCCACCTCGTCTCCTCCCCCGCCCCCAGCATTTTGAAGAAGGAAATCATAGTTTCTAGGATCTGGAAAAAGAAGTACATATGAATCTAAACCCAGGCAGAGTCATTTAAGAGCCCTGGGATGGGTTTTTCCTGGCACATAAGGGGGCCTCAGAGCTGGAAGCTTGGAGAGGTAGGACTAAGAGGCTGAAAGGCTAATAATGTTTCTTTCTCTCTCCGGGGAGCCTAACTGAAAATCCAAAGCAGTTTCTGTCTAAAGGATCCTGGGAGCATTCTAATGGCAGTCACTCATGAAAAGACCAATCTAGATGACGATTAAAAAAACAAAGCAAGGGAATGATTAACATAAAATTGAGGACAGTGGTTACAGTAGCTGCGGAGATATAATCAGGAAACAACACACAGGGGTCTTCAAAGGTAACTGATAACATTCTATCTGCTAAGCTTAGAGATGAGTGCCTAGGTATGCATTTATTATTATAGTGCACACACACAACACACCTCCTTTTGTATATATGGAACATTTAAAATGATAAAAGCTGGATGTGCTGTGTATGTTTTTTTAAAGCATGAATGTTGGGATAACATTTTTAACTAACCTTTCTATAACTCATTCCCATGTTATATTTCTCCCCACATCACCTTGAAAAGCATTAGGGTGCAAAGTTAAGCCACTGCAACGGCTAGTGGGCGATGTGAATCTTAGTAGCAAAAAGACTTGGGGGTGGGGTGCAGTAGGATTCGGGGGACTATGCCTCAGTGGGTGGCAGGAGACCTTAGGCAAAGATCTTCTTTGAGGCTAAGCTGTCCTTTGTGACAGCTAAGCATTGCCTGTGCTGCAGGTAACAGACAGAAGGCCTCCGTCCTTCCTCACTCTGAAAATGCTAACTGTGTGGCAATAGCTCTGTGGGATAAAAGGAGTTAAAAGAATTAGACTAGACAGGCCGACAACACACTGATATAACCATTGGCTACTTTTCAAATTCCTTGAAACCTAAAATATAAACAATGAAATAGCAATGCCTTCCCTTCCTTGTCCATTAATCTCGTCTACTGATGCCTTAAGACTTACATGTGTTCTTTTCTGGAGTAACTTCCAAACAAGAATGTCCAAATACTAGGCTTTACAGCCGCAAGTTACCTCTGCCCCTGCTAAAGCACACAGTGCCAACTCAGCCAGCCTGTGCCATTTTCAACACGTCATAAGCCAGTGTCTGTTCATGTGCTAAGGCACAAAAACCATGTGTTCATTTTTAGTTCCAATACACAGACATCTGTGCAGCAAGGTCAGATCCAAAACTCCCATCATCAGCCAACTAAAGAACCTATGGAGGGAACTTCCAGGGAAAAGCCAGAAGGTATAGTGCAAGGTCTAAAAACCTTAGGACTGATGTTAGCAGGGGAGATATTAAGGAGTGAAAGATACAAGACTCAAATAGACAGAGATTTCTGAAGCCAGGCTGCTCGTTCCAAACAAGAGCTGCCAATCACAACCACAACCACTTTGTGAAAATAGTTAAAAAGATCAATAGAGGTATGGACCCCAAACTCAGACTTAGAGTCAGAACTTCCTCACCACACCGTACAATCATTTTGCTCTCAAAATGGCATGCTATTTCTTAAAACTACCCCCTTGGACTTGAAGACCCAAGGCAACAGAGAAAAGGATTTCTCATGTCTGCCAATTCTGTCCACAGCAGCAGGGTCCCAAACTGATGCCAAGGCAGCCTGCCTCTCTTTTCAGAATTGTATCTTCCCCCCCAAAAAAACAAATAGAAAACGACTACAGATCTGTTCTCCATTTTTCCACCTCACAACAATGAAGATTGATAGTAATAGCCTTAGTCATTAACTCGGGAGGGGGAGGGGGGAAGATTTAAACAATGAAACTTTACAACCAAGTGTGTATTAAGTGATAATTTTTTAAAAAGTCAGATCAAATACCATTTCTCACCAAATATAAAGGAAGACAATCAGCTCAACATATGTGAAACAGAAAAGGGAACTTCTCTGGTTTTCCTGAAATAGCAATTCTATATTACACTGCAGCCCTCAGGCACCAAGCCCAGCTCTGTGAATTCAGCATATGTGTAAAAGCCTTAGCCCAGTTCTCCACAACAGAAGCCTGATTAGTTGGTAGGCCCATTTCATCCTTTGATTCAAGAGTTCTCTAAGCTAACTTAAACCGGGTTTAAGACTCCAAATAACCAGGCAGGTCCACTTAGCACACTCTAAAACATCTGAAAGGAACTAAAGTTTTTCTTTCTTTCTTTCTTTTTTTAAAAAAAAAAATATATATATTTTATTGATTTTGTACAGAGAGGAAGGGAGAGAGATAGAGGGTTAGAAACATCAATGAGAGAGTCGTTGATCAGTTGCCTCTTGCACACCCCCTACTGGGGATATGCCGCAACCAAGGTACATGCCCTTGACCGGAATCAAACCTGGGACCCTTTAGTCCCCAAGCAGACGCTCTATCCATTGAGCCAAACCGGTCTTGGCTAAAGTTTTTCTTAATGTTAAAATATGGAAACTGTTAGCCTTATAAAATAATTATAGGAAGTATTTTCTAGTGATACCTGTGGGAAAGGTAGATATTAAGCAGAGCAAAGAGAATCATGTCCAGAGGTTTCTATTAAAGCCCCAAATTATACAGCAAAGACTCCAAATCATTAAGGAGGAAGGCATATACCTTCTGGCAAGAGACTGAGATTTCTCACAGCTTCCAGGTCCTACCAATCAAAACAAGAGAACAAGCTAAATACCCAAACTCATTCTTCCTTCCTTCGGAGGTGCAGATCCATAGAAATCACAACTACCCTGGCCAGACTTACCAAGTTTCTCGCAGCTGTGAGGCTGCCAGCAAGACTGGCACATAGGAAGCTGTGTAAGAGCTAACAAGCAAATCTAGCATTTAAAAAAAAAAAAAATCACCAGTTCAATCCTATTACTGCTCCAAAGCACAAACTATTCCATCTCCGCTTCTCTTGTCTTCACTCTATTCCTACAAGGTCAGGATAGGGGGCTAGTTACTAGTAAAGAATAAAAAGAGAGAAAGCAAAATTGGCCAGCATCCCACAGCTGCTGCTGGAGTTCTAAATGGCGTCTAGGTGTCCACATTCTCTGTCCAACAAGCTGCCTCCTCACAGCAGTCAGCCAAACGCTCGTACACAAATACCTCGCTCTTCTCCAATTCATCAGAAAAAGCCTTTGGACCAAAAAATGTAATTCTCCAGTGCCCTGAACTAAGCTTTGCAGATCTACAGCCCAATGTGCTCTGCAGCAGAAGTCTGTATTGTGCTTAGTGTGAGGGTTGGTGACAGAGCAGCCAATGACCATTAAATTCTGCTTCCAAAGGCAAACACCGTATAATGTTATATGCCTTTTCCTCTTCCTAATCTATTAGACGGGGCAGCTAATTTCACGCCACACCTCGTATCTGGCGTCTCTGGAATCCCAGACCAAGGCCTGGTCAATATGGAACAAAGGCAAGACAAATCACAAGAAAATTAGCAATCCGTCCTATGTCATTACCCACAGCTTCAATCCTGCCCTCCCCCCCGTATGATGAGAATTTCATCTATTCTGGTTAAGTGGAGCATCGCATGCAGAGCCTACTACAAAAGAGCTGTTTCAACAGCCACACACTTTTTAAGACCTGAGCATGAGCTCATTGGAGGCAAATGCAGGCACAGGTCTACCTGAAGGGGTAACATGCATCAACCTACCGATTTCTTTAGGGACTTTTGTTTGACACCCAGATAAGCCCCTGCACAGCTGTTCAGAAAGGGCAGCTGCGTCAAAGGAACCCCACACTTCCCTTTTGGAGAACCCAAGTTCCTTTGAAAAGAGAAGTCCTGGATGAGTGGTTCCCAGTCCAGGTCCTACTTCAGATCAACTGGGGAGCTTTTAAAAAATCAAATTCCTGGGCCCTCAGACATGCTGATCTTTCCTCGAAGCTCCGCACGTGATTCTGGTGCACAGAGTTCTCAATCTGTCGTCTACCTGTTCTTCAGCCTCGGGCTGTGGCTGCCAGTGTGTCTCAAGAACCCATCACATGAGCCGCACCAAAACCAATCCCAGTCTTTCTCAGAACCCACTCAGCAGCACAAACCACAGTGGCGTTTACCACAAGGGAAGTCTCATTTCACTGACACAGAAGTTGACAGCTTTCTAAACCAATATATACTGGATGATACTGAGCAGCCCACCCCTTCAGAAACGCAGGGGGGAAAACCTCAATGTCTAAGTTTGAAAGTTTCATCCATTAACCTGGAACTCATGCACCAATACTTATACCTCAGACTTAGAATTCTCACATGGGCTTGATAGCAAGGCTATTTTCCAAATTCACTGACAGTGCTCGGCACACGGGCTTGCGATACCTCGTACATAAGAGACCAACGAGGAAAACATGAAGTCTTGGTGTTGAGAGGCCCAACTGACGGTGGGCCTACAACTCACCACCTCATTTGTATGCGTGAGGGTGAAGGGGATGGGGTGCTGGTGGAGCAGAAAGAGTAATCATAAGGTGGTCAAAATGCAACGCCAACTTTTTGTCTCCAGCAATCGCTTTGCGCGTGTTAATGGCAGGCAGACACCTTGGGGAAACTTTAAAAGCTGGGCCAGGGCAGGGGTGGGGTGGAGGCATGGTTTCAAATCATCTCCCAAGGAGAGAGATGCTAACCAGGTGAGACATACCAAGGGGAATGAACGAACTCGGGGTGAAAGCTGTTTCCCATCATTGCCTCTGACCTAATGAGCGATGGCACCACCTTTAGCCCCAATTCTCTGCCTCCTTACGATCATCACAGCCTAAGAACTGTCAGGGTCTCGTTAGGATAAACGGGAAACGAAGCACAAAAGGCACCAGCGAGCGGGTCTTACCTCCCGGCGTCCAGCTCGCGGCCGGCGGAGCCCCCCACGTCCGTCAGGCTCGCGGCCGAAGCGGCCAGCTCCCCCGCAGGCCTCTTGCCGGCCCCGGAGCCGCCGCCGTGGCAGCTCTTGGTGCGAAAGAGGCGACTGAGGCGGGTTTTGAGGGAGCCCTTGAGGGAAGGGCCTGTGAGCGGCCGGAGGGGCCCCGGAGGCGGCGGCGGCGGGGGAGGCGGCTGCGGCTGCTCCCCTCTACTCAAGCGCCCCGGGGGGACCAAGTCCTGCAGCGGGAAGGGCGCCGGGGGCAGCTCCGGGCCCGGGGGCTGCAGCAGGAGCCGGCCGCCGCCGCGGCCCGGGCTGCTGAGCTCCTCTTCCGAGCAGCTGTTGGTCTCCAGGCTCTCGGCCTCCGACTCCAAGCCCTCCAGGACCAGCAGCGCGTCGCTCGTCTCCGTGGGGTCCTCCCCGGCCTGCGGGGTGGCAGCAGGCGGCTGGGGCTGCGGAGCGGGCGGCTGCGGGGGGCACGGGCACGGGCAGCAGCCACCCACCGTCTTGACCCCCGGCCCCACCGGCTGCCGGAGCCCCAGAGCCGCCAGCTGCGCCTCGAGTCCAGCCGCCGGGCCCCAGGTCCGCTCGAGCGCCAACCCCGGGGGCAGGGCCTTGGGGTCCAGGGCACACCGGTGCCGGGGACACAGCAGTTCCGAGGGTCCTGGCTGCGGGGCTGCCTCCGCGTCCTCCTCCTCCGGCGGCCGGCCCACGTTGCGGAACACCATCAGCTGCGGCGGCCGGGAGCCCCGCGCACCGGGCCGCGCGAGGAAGGATGGCGGCGGGGGGCCATGGCCCGGGGGCGGCGGCGGAGGGCCTGGCTCGGGGGCCGCCTCTCCATAGCCGAGCAGGCGGCTCAGGACTCTGTACGAAGCGGCCGCCGCCGCCGCTGCCTCGCCATCCCGGAGTTCGGCCCCCTGCATCGGGGAGAGAGGGAGGGAGGGCGGGCGGCTGGGAGCCGGGCTGGGGTGGGGACTAGGCCGGGCCCCGCCGGAGCCCCGCCCGCCACGGGCCCCGGAGCGACAGCGCTAACGGCCGCCGCGGCCTCTGCCTCATAGAGGGGGGCGGGGGGCGCGCGGAGGCAAGCGCAGGCCCAGGCCGCGCGCCGCCGCCGCGGAGGACGGCCCCGATGGCGTCACTTCCGGGAGGCGGTGGCCACGCCCCTTCCCCAGGGCGGGCCCGCGCCGGCCTCCGGGGGCGTGACGTCACGCGCGGCCTGGCCCGCTATTGGCCGCGAGCTGCTTCTCGCTTGGCTGTTGGTCCCCGGCCCGACCCTCGCTTTTCACTTCCCGGGCGCTCAGGCCGAAGCCATCCCTGCGGGCGAGGGGGCCACCAGCCCTGGGACTCCGGGTCTGATCCCGGGAGAGAGCTGCTGGCCTTGGGAGGACCTCGGTTTCTGGTTCCGCCTGTGCCGCTCGCGAGGTGTGAGCAGGCAGAATCACTTCTTCATTGATAAACCGTTATCACCCCTGGCATGGAGTGAATGTACATGCAATGACACATGGATAGTGTGTTCTAAGAGTGCTGATAAATGTTGAACTGGCACTGGGAGGGGAGGGGGAGGAGGTGTATGCAGATATATGAATAGAATACATAAGTTTGGCATAAATGTTACTGATGTAAAGATATGTAGCACACAATTTATAAAAAACCTATAATAATAAAAGTGTGATATGCTAATTAGACCAGGTGTTCTTCCTGAGGACCTGCCGGATGAAGCCCCTATCCTGGTGCCAGAAGGAAGCCTGTGCGGGCAGCCAGCAGGAAGGCCTATTCTTTTTTTTTAAATATATTTTATTATTTTTTACAGAGAGGAAGAGAGAGGGAGAGAGAGCTAGAAACATTGAAGAAAGAGATTCATCGATCAGCTGCCTCTTGCACACCCGCCACCAGGGATGTGCCCGCAACCGAGGTACATGCCCTTGACTGGAATCGAACCTGGGACCCTTCAGTCTGCAGGTCGACGCTCTATCCACTGAGCCACACCGGTTTTGGCAGGAAGGCCTACTCTTTTTTTTTTTTTTTTAGGAAGGCCTACTCTTGCATGAATTTCGTGCATCAGGCTTCTAGTAATAATATACAATTGCAAATTCCATGTAACCAATTGATTCTCGCAAAATGCTTTTATTGGTTTTTGCCAAGCTTTTGAAGAGTAGCCGTGGTGTCAGTTGACCAAGGAGTGGATGTTGGTTAATATTTTCCTCTATGTCAACGTAAGAGGAAAGTAAGAAAATTAAAATTAAAAAAAAAAGACAAACGCTGAAACCGGTTTGGCTCGGTGGATAGAGCGTCGGTCTGGGGACTGAAAGGTCCCAGGTTCGAATCCAGTCAAGGGCATGTACATTGGTTGCGGGGACATCCCGCGGTAGTGGGTGTGCAAGAGGCAGCTAATCGATGATTCTCTCTCTCAATGTTTCTAACTCTATCCCTCTCTCTTCCTCTCTGTAAAAAATCAATAAAAAATACATTAAAAAAAAAAGACAATCTTAATTGTCAATTATGGGAGTGACTTCTTTGCTGAATCAGAAAACTGTTTTCAAATACTTAATATGTCCACAAATTTTGTTCTATTCACAATGTAATGGCCACAGATATAACACATTAAATTTAAATCTGAACTATTAACATTTTCTCTATTACTTTCTTAAATGAAGATAATCAACAAAACACTACACTTGTATGATTTGCCAATTTTCATGTTGTAAATACTCCTGTCATGGTTGATTTCAATCTGAACACAGAGTTAGAGATGAGCAATAGCATGCCATTATGTAGTAGTTTCATCATACAAATACAACATAAATAATCCTAAGAGCATAGATAATTCATAATAGTAAAATTATTAGGAAGTGATGATTTTTGAGAATTTATTACCTTAGTTTTTAATATTTATTCCATTACAAATTTGTATAATTTAATTTTAACACTGGCTAAGTTTAACAACTGGCTTGCAGAATTCCTGAAATGTTTTTAATTGGCTCTCACAAATCTGTACGAGACAGCTCCATCATACTACCATTTTCTCATCTGAAAAAAACAGGAATAAGGATTGCTGCTTGACTTACTGGCAGGCATGTTGTGAAGATCAAACAAAAGCAAGCTTGATGTGTAGAGGAGGTCAGACTGGTGGCAGGGAGACCAGTTAGGAAACCATTGCAATCATCCTATGCGAAGTGTTTAGGGAGCAAGGGATCATGGGGAAGAAGCAGCCAGCAGAATTTAGCAACTTTGGTACCCAGGGTGCACTGAGGGGAAGAGGGTGCCTCCACCCTGTGCTATGAGTCCTGCCGCCTGAAAGACCTTTTTAAAATGGAAATTTTGTACCCAAACTGGTTTGGTTCAGTGGATAGAGTGTCGGCCTGTGGACTGAAAGGCCCCAGGTTCAATTCCAGTCAAGGGCATATACCTTGGTCACATCCCCAGTAGGGGGTGTGCAGGAGGCAGCTGGTTGATATTTCTAGCTCTCTATCCCTCTCCCTTCCGCTCTGCAAAAAACAACAACAATAGAATATATTTTAAATAAATAAATAAAAATAAAATGGAAATTTGTCCAATAGCCAGTCATTATAATGCGTCCTGATTTCCCATTGTTTTCAAGCTAAAGACAAAACTTCATAAGGAGGTTTTTGGGTCCTGTGTGATCTGACCCTGCCTTTCTCCAGCCTCCTCCTACCAAGCTTCCCCTTGTTCTCTCTCCTCTGTAGTTCCACTCGCCCTGTGTCCAGCTTGCACACAAGTGGCCATTGCATAAGCGATTCCCTTTCCTGGAAAGCTTTTTCCTCTCTTTTTGCTTGGTAAATGTCTACTCATTCTTCAGATTGCACTTCTCACTACCTCAGGGAAATCTCCCTGCCTGGCACTTCCTTCTTAGGTTCGGAGGTCCAGGACCACTCCTTTGTTGCACTTAATTGCACAGATATAATTTGTCATCTGTGAAGTTGTGGGGTTGAAGTCTTTCTTCATTACTAAGCTGTCAGCTCCATGAAGGTCAAGGCCACATTTGCCCATCATGGTCTCTCAGTGCCAAGGACTCTTTCTGGGCACAGAGTAAGCCCTTGAAAATAAGTACTGAGTGTTTGTTCAACCTCACACCTGATGGCTCTTGATACAAATTCATCTCATTCAGCCAATAGAATTAATATCCTTCCTTGCCCATGAAGAAACTGAAACAGTTATTCATCCAAAATCACACAATTCAAAAGTTGCAGTGGTATTCAAAATCAGCCCTGACTGATGCCAAATATTGTACTTTCTAACTCCTCTCCCTCAGCTACCTCTCAGGTGTCACTGAGGTTTCTGGAGAAAAGAAGAGAAATTGCTATAGGATCATAGAACACCTGAGGCCTACCAAGACCACCTAAGATGCCTGGCTGTTTCTGGAAAGCTCTGGCCCCAAACCCCATTACCAGAGAACGCAAGGTCCATAGCTCTGCAGCGCCCTCTGCTGTCCTCTGCGTTTTTGGCCTGAGAGGGAGATTGCCTGCCACCTGGAGCATTTCCACCTGTCCGAGTACACAGAGGCACAGGGAACGCACACGCCCCTTTCTAAAGGAGGGCAAGGAATGCTGCCTTTCTCCATCCCCGTGAATGTCCAGGCCTGTGGACCCAAGCACAGGAAGTATATCTGTATATGAGTTGGGTGGGTGTGTGTTCATTGAGCAGATATTGTATCTACACATACCTCTTTCACTGAAGGCTATACAAGTGGCCCCCGAATGGCAGGGTCCTTGTTTTCAAAATTTGTAAAGAACAATTCAGATGATGTAAACCAATCCCAAGGTTCACTTCAGTCGCTCAGCGATGGGCCAGGCCTCAGGGTGCAGTGATGAGTGAGAGAGGCTCAGTCCCTCTCCCTCGGCTATCTCATTTGAATCCCAATCATGCCATTTCCTGGATGTATGACCAAGAGCAAATAGTTAACATCTTTGAACCCGTGTTTCATTGCAAAAGCAGGTCGATAATAATCTCCCTCCACAGGGCTATTGTGGGGATTAAATGACTTACATGTAAATGTTAAAACACTCTACAAATGTTAGTTGTTATTACAATGAAGAGCTTCTTGAAGGGAAAAACAACTCACTATTATGTTTTCACCCAGTGTGTTTTGGACTTAAATAATGGTAACTGGTAATACTAAGAATATGGAATGGTGCCCAGCTGGCATGGCTCAGTGTTTGGGTATCAAACTATGAACCAGGAGGTCACAGTCTGATTCTTGGTCAGGGCATGTGCCTGAGTTGCTGGCTCAATCCCCAGTGTGGGACATGCAGGAGGCAGCTGATCAATGATTCTCATTATTGATGTTTCTCTCTCTCCCTCTCCCTTCCTCTCTGACTCAATAAAAAATAAAATTTTTTTTACAAAAGAATATTCACCTTACGTAGTTGTGGGGAAGATTAATTGCGGTGATGCAAATGAAAGACACTTTATAAACTGCCACGGTCTGTACAATCATAGTTAATATGAATCTCGGCTTCCTACCCTCGCCATCCCCAATGTCAAATTCCAGTTCAGCAGCATGCTGTCCAGGGGGTACAGGCAGCCAGAGCAGATTGCCAGGAGATGCAGCTTGCCCCTTGATCATGCCCATTGCAATTGCTGCCAGGAGGCAGAATGAGGAGAGGGGTGGAGAGGGGAGCGCGGGCTCATCTGCGGTTGCTATGACATCCCATCCCAGATTTCCCCATCTCTCATAATGGAGCAAAGGGCAGAGGGAGGCAGGGAGAGAGGGAGGGAGGGAGAGAATGACTGGTCCCTGCCTCTCCCCTCATCCCTCTCCCCTCCCATCCATCTCTCTCTGGAACAGATGTAGGGTGGAGAATGGGGGTTGGGGAGGGAGCCCAAAAGCTGGATAAGAGGGGAGGGAAGAGCACTGTGTCAGGATTAGGTTTGCGGTGGGGGCCACACGGAGGGGAGGCGGCAG